ATTCAATACACGTAAATGTTTATTGTATCGCAAAATGTTCATAGGAATTATATGAAATAATGTTGCATTACGAAACTTACCCCTTACTAGTTCAGCAGTTTCAAAACTATTACAAAAATACACATTATTTACAAACAGTACATTTTAGAGCTTGAATAATAACGCAAAGCTGTTGAGATAAGCTTGTTCTAATTCTTTCCCATTACGTATATAGATATTGATTCTTTCAGTGTGGGTCTATATTATATCCAGTTTCACTCACTGGGTTTTACAATCCCCCCTCCACTTTGAGTTTTAACATTGCCCTCACAAATGTTTATTGTAATACCGAATCATCTATTCATCATTCAGGTTATTACTTGTAATTTCAGTTTTGTGTTTACTCTAGGAATATACTGAAGATGGAATGTGTGTATTCCAAAACGTCCAATAAATATGTTGTTATTCGTCACTTCTGTAATTGTGTCGTTCATCATAAGGGTCAGCAGATTATTCAATAATTACTCAGTATTGTTAAGAAAACTATTAGATTCACGTGAAAATGAACTAAATGACCTTGGTAGCCAAAATATTTAGTGTACTTATTCGCATAATAGTAAGTGTGATATATATGTCCTGATTACCTTTAATTTGTTATGTCCTAAAGTTACATTCGTGACGCCAAATTGCATTTAATGTCATTAAGAAATATGCATTTTATTCTTTTTAAACAACAATATTACGTTTTGTGATCACATGCATGTTTGTTGTTAGGAGCGGATTGTATTCTCATTAAGCCAGTCAGGAAATCTACTATTTCTTGTGAAAATTAAATTGTCATGAACTAAACCATTAATTATATGTCTTGATAGCTATTGAGAAAACGTTTCATGTGGAAGAAATAAAAGCTTTTTATTTCGTCTATTCTTTCAATGCAAATGTATTATATTAAAGTATTTTTAAGTAACCAATTTTATTTATAAATATTACATTTCACTTTTTTATTGTTCTTTTATTTAGAATAGATTTTAATCGCTTCAGGATTTCCAGGAAAAACATAACTCTTAACGGTAGTATAGTTAAAAAGTTTGACAAAAATCAATAACTTCTATTTTAAAAACTCTGAGTACACACACACACACACGTATATGTTCGCTGAGTTTATTTATTTTTTCTCTTTGTGAAACATTTGGAGTAATTACTAACACTAACCATAATTTGAAAAATATTTCTTGACTTACCCACACCCTCTGTGGGTTTTGATTTACTTATGTTAATAATGAATCTTTCGCCTAGAAGTACAACCTTTCAACATATTAATCAGTGGTTTGAAAAGCGGAGTAAATGAGGACAAAATGTTTTAAAACTTTTATTATTAAGTCATAAAATGTTTGTGTAACTCAATAAAAACATGTTTATAAAATACTTGTGAAAAGATTCAGAATATTCATAGAAATAATTACTCTTATTAGAGTCATTTCATTTTATACAATTTATAAGTTTCTTTGGGCAGTTGGTATATTACAACCTTAGTGTTCTTAACAAAATAATTACAAGAGAAATAGTATATTTTATTTGTTCTGTTTGGATATTTTACGTATAACTCGTTTTAAAGTTAGATTCTTCACTTTGAATGGTCTTCAAAATTCTTTACTCAGGTTTGTCGAAGTATATTTCTAAGAGGTTAATTTCTCTTATACTATTTTAATCCTTCTACGAGTACTTTTCGGGAGGGGCTTTTCTCACATAATACTGCTTATCCCCTTTTGAAGCCTCCACACATTTACCTTAATAATCTGTTCCTGATCCCGGTTTTATCGTTTTTTTCTGCTAAGTCTCAGGTATTCAGCTATCTTTAGAAAATACGTTCTCAAATGAGGAATCTTTCTCAGGATAAGCTCAATAATTTCGTTTTTATCCTTTCAGAAATTCTTAGGATGAGGTTGGAGCTTTATAGATCCTTTGGATGGAACATTTTTATGGTAAGAAATATTCCTATAAAAATTGTGTGTGGGATTATTGTATGTACTTTTTATTATTTACTGGGAACTTTTATTTTAAAAGGCATTTCCATTCTGATTAAAAATGGTTTCTAGAAATCTTTATACGGATGAATTTAACGCGAAAAAAACAACAACAACGTAGGTGTCGAAACTACGGGTTCTCTTACATTTGTTTTGAACATGCTATTTTTATCGACCACGTTGTGCACGTGGTGAATTTCCTGACTATGAAGAAAGGAAAAGAAGCTTGTTTTTCTATTTATTGATGATGAAACATATTTTTACAGTAGAAACTTATGTTTTCTCTGTCAATCGAATAGATCCTTAATGCATTCTTTTTTGTTAACCAGCAGACGTTTTCACACATCCTATAAAAATCTTGGAGAAATGGATCAGATTTTTCTTTATCAATTAATTAATGGGTTTTTCTATTTGCTTGAACTAGCTGTAGACTCATCCATCGTCTCTTATATTATCTACGATAGTTTCTTATGTTTAATATATTATAATACAGTCTTTCTTTTATCAAATTGTACCAACTACATAACATAATTATACTCTCACCATATTGTTAAAAACACATTTTCTGAAGTACAATGACCTAATTCCATAGGATTTTTTTGTGTGTTTTTTTTTATCTTAAGTGTATGTATTGTATATTTACATGAATACTACATGACTGATAAGTTGATATCTCGTGTATATTATACCAATATATGTGCTTACAAAGTATAATTTTCTTTCTGGGTCGAGCGAAGTCTGACTGTGAATATGAGGGTCCATAGTTCGCGTCTGTTGCCTCAAAATCGCGCTCTGCACTCTGTGACTGGGGGTGCTTTACAAGAGTAACTGTTAAATCCAATTACTCAATTAGAGCATGCCAATAGTTGATGCTGGGTTTCCTTGGACTTAGCTGCTTCTCCTCTAGTATAACAGTTGAAAATTAAGGAACTAGCTTTTGTAGTCTTGTAAAAATACCCAAAACAAACAAAGTATTTTCTGCTTTGCTTTCATAGTTGCAATTCGTGTGAATGTTCTGTGCACGAACTAGCTTTTGTAGTCTTGTAAAAATACCCAAAACAAACAAAGTATTTTCTGCTTTGCTTTCATAGTTGCAATTCGTGTGAATGTTCTGTGCACGAACTAGCTTTTGTAGTCTTGTAAAAATACCCAAAACAAACAAAGTATTTTCTGCTTTGCTTTCATAGTTGCAATTCGTGTGAATGTTCTGTGCACGAACTAGCTTTTGTAGTCTTGTAAAAATACCCAAAACAAACAAAGTATTTTCTGCTTTGCTTTCATAGTTGCAATTCGTGTG